TCATTTCAAACTTTCCTGAGAACTTCCCCTGAGGCCAGACTACCAAGATCATCCTCCAGACACTGGGTTAGTGGTGTATAAGAATGCTCTGTCCTACCTTTGCAACCTTTCTATAAACTTAAAATTATTCCAAAATAAATTTTATTAAACTAATTTTTAAAACACCCCCCCCCAAATTATCTATAAAGTGGCAAACTTAATCATAATCTGCAATACTTATAGCACTCCTTTCCTCTTTAACTGAACCAAAAATTCCACGTGTCCAAAAAATATCAACCCCACAGGCACTGCGTAGTTTGGATTTCCTCAACAGTTGGTTTTGTACATAGCAGCCTCCAAAGGCCCTGAACTCTCAATACTCTTTCCCTCTTTCCCAACTCTACTACCATTAGATTTTTAGCAAAGTAGACCAGAGGCCCAAATGTGGGAAGGAGCAGCCCACAGCAGACCAAGTCCTTGTGGAAACAGAAAATTCCTATTGCACTTTATTCTTAACCAGCTAGTGCCAGGGAGTACCAATGGCTCAGGCAACAGGATTTTAAGTGACTACAGGAGTGTACAGCTATTCCATTTTGGCCTTCTAATATCACATCAATGATGGTTTTGGAAAAAAAAATCACTTCTGAGATATAGAGCCTCTAATAAAAACTTGCTCCTACTGAAGACTATAATCTACTTTAGGATTATCTGCCTTATTTTTCAGGTTTCAGAACCACACTGCAGCAAACTTTCTGAAACAACCTTTCTACTTACCTCCATTCCCACACAAAAATTAAAGCCCTGATAATCAAATAGTACCTACTTATGGTTCGATTAAATCAGATTGCAATTTTCAAGTAATTTAAGACCTCTTAAAGTCTTTCTTTAACCTCAGTATTTCAATAGAAAAATAGGCTGCCCTATTTCCAATCTCACAAATGGGTTTAATTTTTTTCACCAACTGTTTTGAAGTATCCTTTAGACTGTGTCCTTTAGATCTCATTGTTTTGCATTTTAGGCTACTTGAGGATATCTGCCATTCTTTTCCCTCCTAATTGTTCCTCCCACTTTTCTTGAGACGTTTCTACTTCCTATACTTTAAAACACGCCCCCATACATACTCCACCCACACAGATATATACACACTGAAACTTTAAATACAATCTCCAAGTGCTTAAATACATATGAATACATTTGTATGTGTGTATAATACATACAGACACCTACATAAATAAGTGGAGACTGTACTTCTTGTAAAGGTCTCTAACAGCTGCTCACATACAGTAGGACAAATAATTTCAGAATGATGTAGTAATTAAAGCACATGGACTCTGGAACCAGACTGCCTGAGTTCATGTGCCTGCTCTGCTACTAGCTGCCGAGTTACTTAAACTCTCTATGCCTCAGTTTTCTCATATCTAACATGAGGGTGATTATAATAACCTAACAGTAATTATGAGGATTAAATGAGTTAATACAGATAAAATGCTCAGAACAGTGCCTGGCACTGATAAATGTTAGCTAGCTTCTTTCTCTTTCAAGGGACAAAATGGTTCTAAACAATTGCTTTGGTTCTTTTTCTGGAAGTGATGTGCCCATGGTCTTTGAGATAGAACATCTCTCTTCTGCCTGCTAAACTTTCCTTAGGTATCTAATTCGCCCCTTTCTTAGAGACTAATTGCTGACTCCAGAAAGCAAAGTGGGAACAAGAGAGGGACTCAAGTAGTTCCCCCAACTAAACTTCAAACCTCAAGTGAGTTTGTATGGTAATCTAGCACAATATCCTATTCTAATTAGGAATTAACACAACCAATGCTTTTTCTAATAAGGCATGTTGCTTAACTAATAGTTTTGCAAGCATATTTTGGGAAAAGTGAAGAAAATCACAAGAATCACATATGAGTCATCCATCTCCTTCCCTTGCATGTACTTAGTCATCAATGTCTGTCAATTTTTTCTTGTACCAACATCTCTCTCTGTCATTCCAATCATAGTAATGTACTCTGCTGAACCCTGTGAGGCAATCAGTCATGGTCCTGGACAGGAAGTGTTCACAACACAATTTTCTTTTTCAAATTTTTTTCTTTATTAATTTTAGAGAGAGAGGAAGGGAGAGGGAGAGAGAGATAGAAACATCAGTGAGAGAGAAAATCGATTGGCTGCCTCCGCGTGCCCCCCACTGAGGATTTGGCCCACAACCTGGGCATGTGCCCTGACCAGGAATCCAACCGGCAGCCTCTTGATGCATGGATCAATGCTCCACAACTGAGCCACACTGGCCAGGCCACAACACAACTTTCTAGTGGATCCCTCCTCTCTACAAGCTGTGAGACACCTAGACTCCTACATAGCTTCTCACTCCAGCAATCCCCCTCACCCAGTTAAGTCTCTTTGCTGGCTTCTCCTCCAGTGTAATTCTCCTACTCTGCCCCCCACTCAGGGCCTTCAAGGGCAAATGAAGCTCTTCTGCTTGGACTGACTTTGCCAATGCACTCTCACCCTCTCACCCTCTCACACCAGGGCCTTTGCTCCTGTTATTCCCCACGCCCCTCTCCCCCCACACAGAAAGGAAATAACTTCACCTATTCAAATTCCACCCATCCTGAAGGTCTAGTTCAAGTTTTACCTCTTCCATGAAACTACCAGCCCTCAGAGTTTCCCCTCTTCTGAGTGTCTACAATACCTACTATTGTTTGGATGACACAGCCTGGTCATTATAAAGTGAGTCTCCGAACTATGATCATTCACTTCATAACAAGTGGCCTGTACATAGTTTTATGGGTCCTAACCAGTCCTGCCGTTCTACTCTGGGAGGCACTCTACTCCTCTCCTAGGCCAAGGACTCCCCTCACTTCTAAACAGAGAGGCACCAATACAGTGGTTAAGGCCTCTGAAATCAGGCTGCTGTGTTGGAAGCCTGGCTCTTCTGCTCTACCAGCTGAGACTTCAAAAAGGCTCTTAGCCTCAATGTGCCTCGGCTTCCTCATATACAAAAAGGGACTAATAACAGCACCTACAGGATAGGTTTTGTGTAAACATTAAATGAAATAGTACACATAAAACTTAAAACACTGCCTGACATAGAGTAAATACTATATAAATACTAGTTGGTGTTATTAATTCATGCTACAATGTGGGCTACCATTCTAAACAGACTAGACTAAGCTGGTAACCTAATCATTTTCTAAACTCGCAAGATTAGAGCTAGAAGAGCCCTTAGAATTTACAAAGTTCACAGAAAACTGCTGCATAAGGGGAAATGACTAGCCCAGGGTCCAACAGCTGGGAAATGTCTGGCCACTAAAACTCAAGTCCCCTGACTGTTTTGTTTTTTTCCTTTCTTTATCATACCTCAATGCAATTCCATCAAGATTTCTAATGGGAAAAGAGTTTCTGTATTCTAAGTAATCAAGTTGCCAATGAACTCTTGTGACAAAACTGATTAAGTTGGGGGTTGCCAGTATTGTCTAGAAGGCCAGCTGTTGTTTCAGGTGTGTGGGGGAGGATGTGTATAGGAGGGAGGGTGCCAGAGTAGCACTGTGAAAATCAGACTGATGAGATCCATGACCTTAAGTCCCTTCCCGTCGCTGGACAGCAGTTTCCCCAAATAATTATGGGAACAAGAGGCACCTTGGGGCCAAGGATGATGGTGTACACACTGAGGTTGAAAGGGAGCAGAGCCTGGCTGAGTAATAAGCAGAGAGTTGAATAATTACTGATTGACAATTTTCAAACCTCTCTCAGGTTTCTACTGAAATGCCACTTTATCTTCTTTACAATGGCAAACACCTTCCCAGCTTTTGTTTTACTATATAGTACTTATCACCATCTGACATATCTTATATGCTCCCTCCTCCCAACTCTGCCAATAGCAGATAAGCTCTATGGGGCACTCACCCTGCATCCTCAGCCAGGGGACCACCAACTGGTACAGAGCAGACTCTGCATATGTTTTGTTGAATCTACAGAGGACGTCAAGGTTTCCTACTCAGCATTTTAACTTGGGTTGAAAAGCATAATACGCAGGTGAAAATGCAATAAGCAAATTGTGAGTGTTCGTGTCAATGTGATAATAAAACCTATCAAATTTGGAGCTACTGTCATTGCCCAAAATGTCCAGAAGGCCACTAGTGCCAGGAGCTGAGGAAGTCACTGGCCCCCAACTTTTCACAGTGATTCTCACGGGTTCAATAAAAGTTGCAGCGCAGGGTGAGGGGTGTATGCGAACTCTCTATACTTTTTTTGCAACTTTTCAGCAAATCAAACATTATTCCAAAATATAAAGGTTATTGAAGAAAAAACAAAAAGCATCCACCTGGGTGCTGCTCCAGGATTCCCAATGGATTTCTTGGACGCCAGAAGAGGCCTTGACAGGCACACCCTTTTTCTAGGAGAGCTAGGACCTTCAAAGGTCCCTTCACTCCCACCCCTTCACTCAGGGGTGGGGAACTCTAGCCCGTGGGCCGCATAAGGCCCACGAAATCAACACCAGCTAAGATCACACGCCTCACCAAATTAGCCTGACGAGATACAGCAGGCTGTTTTTAGGTTGATAATTTTGTATGGTCTGCCAGTGATGTTATAAATGTCCGAATGGCCCTTGGCAGGAACTGGACCAGCTCCCCCAGTCGCGGTTCCCACTGGCTCCAGGCCCCTCATCCCCTCCTGGACTCCTAGGCGACATTCCTGGTCCTGACCCGCCGCCCCCTGACGCCGCAGGCATGTTTCAGTCCAGGCCGGCGCCGGGCTCCTTAGCTCTTCAGCTCTTCCCTACCACGCAAGGGAAGTGCGGCGGAGAGTCTTCGTCCTACCGCTCTGCTGTCGCCACCCTGGATCCGGAAAGCCCCGCAGCCCCTGGGTCCCCCAACTCGAAGCGGGCGCCGGAGGCCGCCGTCGCTGATCACTGGGCGTCGATGAAGAGACCCTGGCGCCCACCTCAGTCGCGGCCCTAGGCCTCGGGGCGCCCTCGCCTGCCTTTCGGCCGAGCCCCCCTCCGCCCCTCGGCCGGGGTCCGCACTCACCCCTGGGCGCCGCGTCCACACCGGCGCAGAGAAGCAGCGCCCACAGCCCGCAGAGCCGTACCGGCAGCTCCATGCAGCCCCTCGCGTCGGAGCCCCTCGCCCGGCGAGCGGCTGCGGCAGTTTCGCCAGTCTCCGCCTCCTTCGCTCCCGCTCCCACTTCCCGACTCCGCCGCCCTGGAGGCTGGGGCCGGCGTAGACGGGAAGGGCCGCCCCGCCCACCGGCCGCAGGTAACCCTAGCCGGCCGCCGCGGGTGGGGGCGGGACGCAGTGGCTCCCTGGCTCAGCCGCGCGACACCTGGCCCCTCCGAGCTCGGACCCTCCCGGGTCCATTCACCGGCCAAACAAAACTTCTGGACCAAGTCGTGGCCCAGCCCTAGCGCCTGCTGGTCCCCGCTCCCCGCTCCCCGCGCCCAGGCCCGCGTCGCAGCTGCTTGCCAACTTGCGGGGCCTCGGGAGTGCTAAGGACTGTGCCCTGCTGGGCACCAGGGCAGGGCCATCTACGGGAAAGAGCTTTGGCCTGGGAGTCTAGAGACGTGGCTTCTAATCGTTGGCCTCTGAGCCACTGTTTCCTAAACTGTGAGTCCAGGGTTAGTAATCCCAGCCCGACCTCATAGGGTGGACTTGGAAGACCACAGATTGGACTGGGCGGGAGTGGCTTTGTGAAAAGGACTAAAGGTATATTTGAATTATATTTGAACAATACATAATGTTGAGGGGGGGCAAGCACAGCTCTAAATATGGGGATCAGTGCCATACTGTGTACTTGGATTTTTTAAGAAGCACACAACTAACTTTCTATGTGTTTCTTTTTCATGGGTATGTATTTAGAAGCTGTAAAGTGAGTCAGAAGGATACACATTAAATAGGGAAAGTGGGGCTGAGGGTCATTGAGCCTGGGGATGGAGGAAACCAGGAACTCTTTGTTTGCTATTGCTGCTGTAACGAATTACCACGAATTTGCTGACTTAAAACAACAGTGTTATATTACAGTTCTGGAGGTTAGAAGTCTCACTGGGCTAAAATCAAGGCATGGACAGAGCTGCCTTCCTTCTGGAGGTTCTAAGGGAGAATCCATTTTCTTGCCTTTTCCAGCTTCTACAGACGGCCCTCATTTCTTGGCTTGTTGCTATGCCACTCAGACCTCTGCTTTCCTTGTCACATCTCCTCCTCTCTGACTGTCCCTTTTTCATTTCTAAAACCCTTTTGATTAGATTGGACCTACCAGATAATCCACGATAATCTCATCTCAAAACCCTTGATTTAATCACATCTGCAAAGTCCCTTTTGCTAGGTAAGGTAACATAGTCACAGTTGTCTGGGATTAGGACATGGACCTGTTACCACCTCCCCAAAGGGTCATGTCTGAATAGACAAGACCCACTAACTGAGGTGTATTTTGGTTGAATTGTACCTGAATCTGTTGCAAAAATATAGCAATAAAAATTCTGATAATACACCTAGTCCCGACCCTCCCCAAAGGGCATGGGAATGTTTAACCTATCGAAATTCAATGAATATTTATTGTCCTTTCAGGAACTGTGGTAGACAGTCATTAAAAATAGGCCCTGCCAACAAAAAGCTACATCCAGTGCAAAGGGCTATTGTAAAGGCAAGAACAAGGAACTGTGGGACACAAAGAAGGGGCACCTTATGGGAGGGAAGGGACAAGGGAGGTTTCCAGGAGGCAGGCTTGCGTGTGCTAAATTTTGAGATATTGAGTCCTGCAGTTCAAGGGTCATAATAAATCCTTGCCTGCAGATATTATTGAACAAAATAATGTTTATGAGAACACTTTGTAAACTTTAAAGGCCTCTTAGAACTGCGAGGTTACTTCTCAGTTATTATTTCTTATAATGTAATTTCTAAATTCCCCTGCAAATAGGCTAGCCATTTTCTAACCTAAGACCTCCCCTCCCCATCACCACACACATGCACACTTGTTGACATTTGCCATAAACATTATACAATAACTTTATAATAATCTCTACAAAAATGATTATGTCATGTGCCTTTAAGAAGTCTTCAGTGAGAACAGGAGCCCCTCCCTGGGAACTGGCAGAGTGCCATTGGGTACATTGTCTGCATAGACTAAGCGAGTACTTAATGAAAGAACAGTAATGGCAGGAAATGATTAGGAAAATAAGGGTCCAGGACTTGCCATTAGCCTCCAGAAAAGACCCTGAAAATTTGAACACTGTGAGCAAAAAGACAAAGGGTGGTGGCGTGGCCATAATAGTTCTGGCCTGCTGTCTGTGAGTAAGACTGTTTCAGTCAGTTCCACTTCCTCTGGATCCTAAACAAAATTTTTTAAAAATTGTAAGGCGGTGGCAAGGTTAGGAATGCTGTTTCTTCAATATCAAACATTATTTGTAATTTTTATGTACTTTTACTCAATGAGCATATTGGATGAAATTAGGCCACTGTCCTGGACTGAGGAGGATGAAAATAAATTGAAGGCTTTCCAGGAAATGCAATAAACACAGAGCTCTCATTTTGTCTTTGTGTAATCAAAGTCATGACGAATCAACATCAAGTTTAGCTGCTTTAACCCTTAATTTATTGATCCCTGAAGATTTGGGTGTGAGACTACCATTTGCCTTTATTTGCGCTTAAGCCTGAGGTGGCTGGAGTTCTATGCTGACCTAAGTACCTCAGCCCCCCTAGTTGGCGGTTGTTGTTTTTTATCTTTCCCCTTCTCATTAAGGCTTTCTCCTTTTCTGTGATTGAAGTTAGAAAGGGCACAAACAAGAAAATATCTGAGAGGAAATAAGAATATCCCTCTTTCCAAAGTCAAGTCTTCTTCCAACCAGTTAGAGACAGCATCCTGAGTTCATAGCTGAGAATTATGGCTCCTTAGGCAAAAATCTCACAAAGGGTCTTCTACCTTTTATTAAGCAAAAACTGAACAGATCATCGCCACTGCAAAACAAAAAGGGAAGTAGCAAATAGGGAATTTCCCTCCTCTGACACTAGAGCAATGGTTCCCAATGGGGGAGATTTTGCCTCCCCAGGGAACATTGGGCAATGTCTGGAGATATTTTTGGTGGTCACGACTTGGGGTTGTGGGTATACTACTTGGCATCTACTGAGTAGAGGCCAGGGATGCTGCTAAACATCCTACTATGCACAAGCCCATCCCCACAACAAAGACTTATCTAGCTCAAAATGCCAATAGTGCCAAATTTGAGAAATCTTGAGCTAATGTCTTCTTTGTTATCTTTTGTACTTCACTCCTAACCACCCATTATCCTCATGCCCACCAAAAATTCTTGAGAGATTAATGCTAAAAGTACTTATCCTTGACACCTCCTTTCCTTGTATCTAGTGTTTGTAGTTTCTCAACCCCATTATCTAGCCATGCAGTCACTACATCATAAAACATCTCTCAGATATTTTCTCCACCCTCCTCACCTCCACTGTTCTACTCAGGTCCTTATCGCCTTTCCCTTATACTATCAATACAGTCTTCAAGCCCCCCCCCCAAGATGGATCTACCCAATGTGAACATCTGATCATTTCACTCCTGGCTTAAGGTTCATAAGTAACCACCCCTCCCCTCAAATGCCACAAAAGGAAGTCACAACTCCTTTGTCTACAGACTTGTTTTTTCGTGGCACATTCCCCTAACTCTTCCCAGCTTCATCTCCAGTCAGGCTCCCCAAGTCACTGGGCTCTCTCATACTCCTAGCCAGCTGGCCATCTTTAGGCTGAATATCCCTTGTAGGCAGTTTTGTTTGGCCTACATCCTGTTTAAATTTATTTTTAAATAAATTTAAAATGAAAAGAAAATCAGGAGGCTTTGCATAACACCCCAGATTTCCAGCTTTTCTTGAGAAATCAGAAATTCTGATAATATTGGACCTGCATTCCAGTGTGCCAAAGTCAGTAGATGCTAAGCAGGGATGACCATTATAGCAACAGGGCACTTGCTCCCTGGCCTGTCTTGGCATTTATTACTTGCCTGGCCCCTGCTTGTCTTCTCTGATATGTTCTCACTAGAAATCTTTTTGCCCAGAAAGCATTTCCATTCCTCAAATGTCATATTTTAAAAAATTCTTTAACCCCAAAATGTAAAAGTCATTACTCCCTCCTATGTGTGCTCAAATTCTCTTGACAAATTCTATACCATAGCAAATAATACAGAGAGTTGTGTGCATGTCTATTTCTGCCACTGGACTCAAGCTCCTGGAAGACAGAGACCCTGTCCAGGGTGACCCCAGGATTTTCACACAAGAGGGGCTTAGAGACAGTAATCTGATTGGAAGGGACAACACCAGGGAGTTTGTCTTGAAGTCAGGTGTATAGAGCAAGTACATCGCTCTTCCTTAGATCCTAAGTTTATCTGGGGCAACTTGAGGGAAGATACCATCTGGCACCACAGGGAAGATAGAGATGAATGTAACATGGTCATTGACATACCATGCCCTCCATGTACAGGTTTAATTGACTTGAAGGTTCTTGTTCTTCAGCAAGTGGTTTTCTTCTACAGGTACAGAGGGGCTCACTCAAGGGAGTACTGTTTGCACAGGAGGCTGTGACAGGACCCTTTGGGTTTAGCCTGAAGCAGAGTAGCATGGTGCTGGGGTGTCTGAGTCAGTCTGCTGAGGCCCATCCACCTCTAGATCTCTAAAGTTTATAGCAGTTATTAAATTGGCTCTTGGATTGCATCGGCCTGCGGTCCGGAGAGACCCGGGTTCGGTTCCCGCTAAGGGCACGTACCTTGGTTGCAGTTTGTTCCCGGCCCTGGTTGGGTTGTGCAGGTGGCAGCCACTAGATGTGTCCCTTTCACATCGATGTTTCTCTCTCTCTTCCTCTCTCTCTCCCTCCCACTCTATCTGAACAAAAAATGAAAAAATGTCCTCGGGTGAGGATAAAAAAAAAAAAAATTGGCTCTTGGATTCAACAAGACACTCCTCTGCTCAGAACTCTCCAGTGGCCCCCAAGGCCTACCCCATTCTACATCCCTTACCTCCTCTTCTTCTGTTCTCCTCCAGCCATGTTGACCTCCTGGCCATTCCTCACACAAACCAAGTACACTCCTGCTTCAGGGCCTTTGCCCTGCCTATTTCCTCTACCTCAAAGAGAGCCACAGGTCTCACTCCCTCCCCTCAATCAAACCTCATATTTG